GCCTGGCACCGCCTCGCCGGGGCTCCGGCCCCCAGCCCTGGCCAGGCCCAGCCCGGCATCTGAAAATGGACAGAAGGTTATTGTCCCTTCCCGCGGCCCTTTGTCTGCCCTGGTTCCAGATGTCTAGGCTGGGACCAGGGAACTGACCCATGGTGGGCAGGGGGAAGGGACAAAGGGGAGAGCACGGGTCACTGCATCCTGAGGGGTCGTTCCCAGACCCTGAGATCCCACCCAGCCCCAGCCAAGTCACCTTCTGAGCCGTCTTGTCCTCAGGTTGTCGCCATCCCCTGGCCCTTTCCCCAGACCAGGTTCTGGCCTCAGGAGAGAATCCCCTGGGGGGCGTGGAGTTAGGTGGGGGACCTGGAGCAGCATCCCCACTCTGACCAGGTAACAGGTCTGGGTGCTTGGTGACGTCCCCTGGATGGACCATGGTCCATTCATGCCCAAGGTAGGGCAGTGTGGCATTAGCACCGAGGGGAGCCGTGGAGGATCGGCCCCTAGGACCCGCCAGTTTGTGGTTAGGCGTTAATGAGTAAGAGATGACACTCCCCACTGTGTCAGTCCTGTTGTCCTGGCCCTCGCTTTACTTGCATTTTCTCATCTTTTCCACAACAAAATCAGGGATATGCCCGGCCTGGTGGAGCACACCTGACATTCCGGCACTCAAGAGGCTGAGGCAGGAGGATTGTCATGAACTCAAGTCCAGCCTGGGCTATACAATAAGTTCCAGGCTCGCCTGAACTACACAGCAAGACTGTCTCAAAAAATAAAAACAAATCAAGGACACAGGAGGCATCATTCTTACCCCCACTTTCCCCCTTTGGCGTTGGAGTCTGACAGGTAAAATCCCTTGCCCCAGGCCAGGAAGCAGGGAGCAGGGAAGCTGGTGTCTGCAGCCCAGGCTGATCAGAGCCACCTGAGGAGGAATCTGCTTGTAAACACCTGGAAAGTACAGAACAGAGCCCCGACACGCGGCCAACTCAGCATCTGGGCTGGGCGGGCAGTAATGCCATCCCTCTGTTTGCCCATTTCACAGATGAGGCTCGAGAAGCCCAGGCCAGGGTGAGAGGGAGAGAAAGAGAGAGAGGCTAGATCAGGTGCTCAGGGGAACTTGGACGGCACCTTGGAAGGAGCTTCCAGAGCAACCAGGGCTGGCCACATGCAGCCTGACAGGTGACTTGGGCTCTCTCTAATTTCCTTCCTGCTTCCTTTTCTTCTTTTAATGTTTTTGGTTTTTATGAGACAGGACCTCACTAGGTAGCTCAGGCTGGCCTGTAGCCTGGGCTCGCCTCCAACTCACCTCCTGCCTCAGCCTCTGGAGAACTGGAATCACAGGCTGTGCCACCACCATGCGGAGCTTCCTGGTTTCCCCTTCTGTACAATAAAAATATTCCCTACATCAGAGGGTTCTTGTGGAAATGAAACTAGAGGACATGTTTAACGCGTTTAGCGTGGTGCCTGGCGCACAGCAAGCGGTTAAGGGCAGCTGTTATTACGGCAGGGCCTCTGAACAGGAGGGCCGTTGTCCCTTGGAACCTTGGCGCTCACCTGGGTTCACCTGAGGACAGGCCGGGGTGGGGAGGGGGTAGCAGTGAGAGGTGTGGGGACAGCAATACCTGGTCAACTCGGGGCCCAGCCAGGGGGCTCCCGCGGGCGAGGGGAGAGCAGAAGGGACAGCGCCGCCGGGAGGAGGCCGAAGGGGCCTCCCGGGCCCGAGGAGTTAACTGCTTCCAGGCCCTGGCCCAGCGGAGCTGCCACGCTGCAACCGAGCAAGGATTTTAGCGGAGGAGCCAGGGCTGCTTCCTGATGGGCAAAACAGCTGGCTGCCCAGGGAAAACAGCTGGCCTGGTCCCAGCCTCCTGCGAGCTGAGCTGAGGCACAGCCTCAGAGGAGGCCGGCTCCACATCTGGGGTCCTGCAGGGGGAGGGCACAGCCACAGGGGGAGGGTGGTCCTGGGAGTGTGTGGGTGCTGGACCCCCGGAGATGCCAGGGGCATGGGTGGGCAGAGTCCTAGGCAGAGGCCAGGGTGTGCTTCATCTTTGCTTCTGGCCAGGCTGCCTCCAAATGGGACTAGGGGGTCTCCGTGTTCCCTCTTATAGGAAAGATGGGGGACAAGGGTGCCTAGGAAGGACAAGCCTCTCTCAGTCCCAGAACTGAGCTCGAAAAAGAGATGGGAGAGTGCCTGGGCTGGGCTTCTGGATTCCCGACTGCCGAGGACACCCAGAACGAGGAACGAGCTGAGCTTCCTGGGCCACAAGACAGGACGGCGGCCCAGAGCCCCCACCTTGGGCAGCATGAAGCTGGCGACTGGTAAGAGCTCCATCCAATTGTCCCCCACTGTGGGTCCCCTTTCCCAGCCTGCTTGGCCTCCAGGCCATGAGAATCCCCAGCCTGGGAGCCACATCCGGACCCTGAAACACCTCTGGGCTGCCCCAGCCCCTTGGCAGGGAAGCAGCTTCTGGGGCCTTGAACGCCCCGCACCGGGCAGGGTAGACAGAGGGTTAATGGTTAATGCGGGTGTGGCCGCACCCCACTGGGCCAGGGCTGCCTACCTGGGCTACTGACCTCCAAGTCCAGAGGCCTGGCCCCCCTGATTTCTCCCTGGTTAAGGGGGCCCCAGTAGCCCACCTCCCTAACTGTGGGGGCAGCGCTGAACCCCCAGTTGGGGTGTGCCAGCTTCAGCACCCCTTTCCCTAGTGAAGGCCAGGCTGCAAAGCTCTGCCAGTGAGTGGCAGATCAGGGTCCCAGGGGGAGGAGGGCCTTGGGGAAGGGGACAGTTCTGTGGGGGTTCAGGAGCCAAAGTGAAGCCTGAGGTGTTGGCGCCGCCACCTGGCCTTGTGCAGAACTGCGATGCTTGTGGGTGTGAGAGGGTGGAGGGTGGGCGGGAACCTTGAGCCGGACCCTGCTGGGCTGCCTGGACACCACCGTCATTGTGCTCTGGGTTTGCGGCCTATGTGACCTGGAGAACAAAGCCATAGCCCTAGAGAACATCAATTTCAGACTTCAGCCTGCACCAGGCTTGCTTTAGAAGGTTTATGAACGGCAGACTGTTTAGGCCTGGGGTGTAGCTCTGGTAAACCACCTGCCTGGCATCACGACGCTCCGAGTTCCATCCCCAGCACTGTGCTACACTGAAAACCCCCACCAGGTTGTCTGACCTCCACCCCCATACTTTCTGATCTCCCAGTTTCCCTGTGAGGCTGATGCTGCTGAACAAAAGGGACCATGCTTTGATGAATTCTGTGCGTTTAGAATTTTTGTGAACTTGGCCGATGTCATCCCTGCAGGGTATGTTTTGTGACTGTTTGGGGCAGGGAGTAAACAGGTGTACCTGCCCTCCACTAGTGACCCTATCGGGTCTCTGCTGCGGGGCTCAGCGCCTGACGGGTCTGCCATGTGCCCTCCCACCTGGAGGTCCAAAGAGCAGCTCAAAATGAGGCCCAAAACAGTGCCTGATGTTTTGTTTTGTTGTTGGAGCCGGGTCTCACTATGTAGTCCACCCTGGCCTTGAACTCACTACGTAGACTGGGCTGGCTTCAAACTCCGGATGATCCTCCTGCCTCAGCCTCCCAAGTGCTGGGATGACAGGTGTGCGCCACCACACCTGCCCCTTTGCCTAACTTTCGCTTTCCATCTGCTTTTTCTCAGCTCTTTCCATCTCAAGCCAGTTGCAAAAGCCATCCTGATTCCTTACTCTGTCTCCACATCCAACCTCACAAGCTCCCACCACCACCATTTCGATCTCAGCTCTGCCCACTGGAGCCATCTCTGTGCTGGAGTCTCTGGCTTCCATCCTCGGTCTCCTGTCCGCCTTCTGAGGTGCAGCCAGAACAATTTTTTTTCAGATGTGTCGTAGTGTTCTCTTAGGACTCCCTCCATGTCTTTCTGTCTATTGCACTTAAAACATCCCAGGACCTGGGCATGATGGCGCACCCCTATAACTGCATTGCTCTGGGAGGCTGAGGCAGGAGGGTCTCAAGTTCAAGTTCAACCTGGGCAATTTAGCCTTCTTTTTCAAAGTAAAATACAAACATGGGCTGGGGTGTAGCTGAGTATAAACACTTGGGAGTTCAGCCCCCAGTACTAAGGGAAAAAAAAAACAAAACTCTAGGGATTGGGAAAAAACACATGCTTTGCATGCATGGAGCCCTGGGTTCCAATTCCAGCACTGCCAAAATCTTGCCCTGGCTTCAAGGCCCTGGTTCGCTGAGCTGTGCCCACCTATCTTACCCTCTTCCCAATCTGCTCTTCTCCCTTCCGGCCAGAGGCACTGGCCCTCTTGCCTGTCCTACTCCAAGGACCTTTGCACCACCCATTCCTAGATCTTTCCTTGGTCCACACCCCCCTGCGCTCTCAAATGTCTTCCCTGGCCCTGCTGTCCAAGCACTGCCCCACTGCAGCTCTGCTACATTCTTTGCCTGTTTTTATTTATCCTTAGCCTGTGCCATTCCTGAAATTATCCACTCATTGACAGTTTGCCTGTTTCCTGTCTGTCTCCCGGCACTAGCACTCCAGCAGCAGAGACTCCAGGGACCTGGAGTTCTTCCTGCACAGGCTCCTACTCGGGAAACACCTGCTGTGCGCGTGGGTCGCACAGGATCCACGCAGGGCTGTGTCACCTGCACGTGACATCAGCCGTGGTGTCCCAGAGGAGGTTATGCTGAAGCTGCGGAGCCGGGAGGGCAGGAATTTTCCTGGAAGCGAGAGACCAGGCCAGACACAGGGACCGGGAGACAACAACACGGTGGTCGGAGGGAGGCTGTGAAACGGGACGTGTTCTGGAAACTGGGAACTGTCCAGTGTGACAGGCCAGAAGGTGAGAGGTGGGATCCAAGGAGCGGACGCCAAGAGCAGGCTGTGGAGGGCCTGGCTGCCCCTGGAGGGCCCGGCGCTGTGTGCTGAGTGCTGGCAGTGTCCAGGGAGAGATCCTAGCAGTGGCGGCAGCGGCAGGCAGTGTCTGGTGCTTGGTAAGATCTGAGGGGCGGGGGCAGCTGTGGAGGAGAGGGGGGCCGTGGGTGTGCAGGAGGTGCTGGGAGGCCGACTGGACGGGGCGCTGCAGGGAGCCGTGGGTGCAGGAGGTGCTGGGAGGCCGACTGGACGGGGCGCTGCAGGGGGGGTTCTGCTCCTGACAGGTGGCCTGTGGGTCCGGCAGGCAATGGTGCAGGTCTAGTTTCTGGCAGAGGGAGCAACCCATGCACTCACCACAGAGCGGTGGGGGCTCGGGCCCCCTGGAAGTGTCACCCAGGGGAGTGGCTGGAGGACACCGGTCCCAGCAGGAGCTGCCTTGACCTGGGTCAACAGTGAGCAGAGGCAAAACGGAGTAGGTCCAGATTCTCTGCTCAGAAGCTTGAGGGGAGAGACAGGGCAGCCCAGAAGAGAGCAGGGCTGGGGATACCAGGAGGGCACGGGCCGCACGAGGCCCCCCGCTGTTCTCTGGGTGGGGACTCTGCAGCAGACGGGCAGGACCGGGAGGAGAAGCTGGCTTAGTGCCTCAAGGGAAGAGAGCTTGGGGCTTTCTCCAGAAAGCGGCAGGCGACCCTTGTGGCACGGAGGGGATGGGCTGGGGGCTCAGGAAGACCCAGGGCATTTGAAACACTGCTGAGGAGAGGATGCAGGGAGCACAGGAAACAGACCTGAGGGGCTGGAGGAAGCCCAGCGGAGGGTGAAGATGAGCGCTCCAACCCGCTGGGAGGCAGACTGGCTGTGGGGAGGGAGCAGGGAAGGGAGGGGTTGGAGGGAGGAGAGGAGGAGCCTGTAGGAGCTGCAGAAATACCTTAGATCAGGCTGGGGCTTTAGCTCAGTGGTTCCACCCACCTGCCTTGTAAGCACAAGGACCCGAGTTTGGTCCCTGGTACCAAAACAAACAAACAAACAACAAAATACCTTATATTGAGCATGCTTGCTTATTTATTTATTTTGGTGTTTTGAGACAGGATCTTACTATGTAGTTCAAGCTGACCTTTACCTCAATAGGTAACCCAGGCTGACCTCGAATTTGCAATGATCCTCCTGCCTCAGCCTCCTGAGTGCTGGGAATACAAGCAAGTGCTACCGTGCCTGGTTTACTGTTATTTAATTTTTTCTTTGTTTTACATTTAATCCTTTTTCAGTGCTGGGGATTGAGCCCAGGGACTCAGGTATGCTAGGTGTCAGGCCTTTTTAAAAGGGGAACTAATCTCCTTCATGACTTAATCACTTCTCAAAGGCCTCTCAGGACTATGAAACTGATGATTGAGTTTCCGTTTATGGTCTTTTGAGACAGGGTCTCACTATGTAGTTGAGACTGACCTGGAACTCACTATGTAGCCCAGGCTGGTCTCGAACTCGCAGCGATCCTCCTGCCTCAGCCTCCCGAGTGCTGGGGTTATAGGCGTGGGCCACCACGCCCAGCCAAGTTTCAGTTTATGAATGTCGGGGTCACAAGGTTCAGACCACAGCATCCCCATGACCAACAGTGGGCAGAGGCTCTGGGATGACTCTGGGATGATGTGGATATCCCTTGGCTTTAGCGAGGGAACAGGTCCTGGGATGGCCTGGCTTCCTGCAGAGGCTCCCTGCCCGGGAGCAGCCTCTGCACCTCCATGGACTCTGGGCTCCTTTCCTCTCATTGCAGGGCCACTGGCCAGCAACTGCGATGGAGCCTGGTGGAGGAGCGCAGGACTCCTGGGCTGAATGTGTCCTCACGCCGCCCTCACCAGGTAAGGGGGGCCTTGCCTGGCCCCATTCCCTGCAGCGAGTATATTCCGGGTCCAGAAAGGGTGAGCGTTGGGGGCACTCTCTCCTGCAGCTCCAGGGAGACAGAGCTTCCAGAGCTCCTCGTCGTTCTGGCGAGGAGTCCCGCAGACTCCCCAGTCAGGCCATGTCCTTTGCCCGTTGTCCCGGGGAGAACCTGAGGCCCAGGAAAGGCGGCCCATCCGAGGTCAGCGGCAGATACCCAGCTAGGAGCACTGCAGACACTTCCAGGGCCCTCGCCTTTTCTGTCCCTCTCCTAGGGGAGCCCAGAGACTCCCTTTCAGCCTATCAGGGTCCTAGAAGCTGGCCCTTCCCCCCGGCGAGGACTGTGCCCTGCTTTGGGGGAAAGGAACTGGGTCTCAGCAGGGGCTCTGTGTCCCCAAATCCTACACTTAGTCTGAGGGGCTTTGCTTTGTTAAAGGGCCAGAGCAGTCCTGGTGCCGGAGACCGAGGCGACCCGGGTTAGGACGCGTCTGCCGCCACCCCAGCCGGGGCTTCCCCTTCGGCCCACTCGGCTCCTCCGGCCTCTGCGAAGTTCCCATCTGGGTCCGCCAGAGGGCGCCCGGGGCAGAGGAGAGGGTGGGTGCCAGGGCTCCGGGACTGCAGCACCGAGGGGGTCCAGCCACGGAGTGTCCGCAGCTGCTGTCGGCGCGGCGCCTGCGTGGCCAGGAATCGAGATGGGGAGAGGCCGGGGCTG